CAAGCGATACTCAATGGTTTAGTAGGACTTTCCGAGAATCGCGATAGTCCCGTACAAGGACATGTAAAGTGTCGCTGTCTTGCACCCATCCTAATAGGCCTGCGTTCGGAGCCAAAGGGATGACAGAGTATCGTTGAATGTGCAGCCGACGTTTGTAGCTGTTTGTATCAATAGAAAGTAATGTGTTGACCAAGCTAAAGAGTTGCATCACTCTCTCGTCTTGGCGGAGATCCTCATGTCCTGAATCACTGTCAGAATGGGCGTTCTATGCGAGAGGGCCACTAACAAACCTTTCAGAAGGTATTGATAGTCTCTACCATCGCTACCTTTAAGCGAGAAACGGCGAGGTCGTTGCTTGGAGGATATCACCGTAAACTTTGTCGCGAAGCTCGTAATCTTGATAATAGGCCGGCCACTCTGGTATGTTCCTAGGGCGAAATATCAGGCGAGGATTTTGTATCAGACGAAGAGACTGTCTACCAGGTACTGCCAACTCAAGGTGGCGAGCTTTGAGGAGCTCCGGTGACACGTATTGTAGATCCAGAGTGGTCAGTTGTGGAAGTTGTTTCTCCACCTTTTTGAACACCTGGAGTAACGAGATCAGGCCCCCTCTCATCTCCAGCCAGACTGAACGTACACCATAATAGATATCCCAGGCTTTGTCCAGTTCACTGGTGTCCCCATATATACGATACCGTCGACACGCCTCTCTTGCTTCGTGGAGGTCTCGGCCGAAGACTTGCGCGAAGGAAGTCTCCCTCGCAGTGGTGGGACCCTGATAAATAAATGTCAGGGACAACAAATGAGGGGACGACGAATGAGTATTACCGCTTCGAGCATATCATGGAGTGGTTCCAAGGCCACAATCATCCCCTCCGGGTTTTTCTCAGTGAAGTACAGACGAGATGCCTCCTCCAATCCCTCATGCCATAACTCGTGCCATAGAATGGCCACCCGAATCAGTTCTTGACTGACAACCAACGCCTAGTGGAACAAGATTAGTTCTGGCAAAACAGGAATTCTAGAGAAGGTGAGGCTATACCTGCTCGACGATAATAGGGCTATGCTCTCGCATCCGATCCATGATAGCCAAGGCGGCGTTCTTTCGGGAAGCACTTGAGGATTTTGAAGCAACAGTCAACGGGTAGATGAGGGCTTGCGGGTGGTGTTTTCCGACGTCGGTGAGTAGATTATCGATGTTGCGACGAATGTTTGTACTGGGCGTTTGAATACGGGCAATGATCTGGAGATCGGGTCGGATCAGTCATGAACAAAAAATTTGGAGCACAAACCTGAGGGATGACTTCCAGCCACGTATCCACGTCTACTGTAGCAAATCCACCACCCATAGCATGACTGATTTCGTCATGAGCGCCGAACTTGAACCAAAGGGTCAGTAACCGTAAAGTATCTTGTAGGGCGTTCTCGCTGCGGAGAGAAATAGAGCGGAAAAAGCCTGCGATTTATTCAGTGAATAACCAACACCCGAGACGGTGAATCCAGTACCTTGCACAGCTGAGACGATGTGAGCAACAAGCCCACTTCCCGCTACATCAAGCACACGGCCCTCATTTTGATTTTCCAAAAAGTTGATAACCTCGAAATTAGATAGTGCCCAAGTGTGCCAGGCCTTGTACCATGTCGGGTCGTAGTGTGTGGCGAGGAAATACGCGTGTAGGATGTCGTTAATGTTTCTCTGCCCACGGATCGTTAGAAGGTACAGCATATATATGGGACGCGGACCAACCGTGCTCCAGTCCTCCTTGAGATCGACCTGCCATTCACCCTGCTTGAAGTAGCAGCGAGCAAGAAGCCGTGAAAGCTCCTCAAGCTTCTGTTTTGAGACCCCCGGACGTTGAGTTCGATCCCCGGACTCAGACTGTAAATCTCGGGATAGGCTGGCTGAAAATTGACGCAGGAAATTTAGGCTCTCTTCGCGAGCCCCCGTTGCCCACATGTATTTCAGTTGTGCGTATACGACATCAGGAGGGGCTTTCATATGGTGATGTTCCCTTAAGTGGTGCTGCTGCTGAAGCTATAAGACAGGTCAAAAATGCGGAAGAATGCAGACACAATAAGCGAACCCTATCAGGAGAGAGCAAGGAATTGATTGTCTTCTCGGCGAGCGCCATGCGATCGGATTTTCGACACAAATTTGCAAATTTGATCCACATAACTGGGTCATCCTCTGGGGCAAGGACCAAGGTTCGCACTTGCAGAATCCGCTGCCAGACCTCAACATCAGGTTGACAGCCTTGTAACCTGCAACCTATGTGAGAAGGAAGGTAACGATAGGCGGTGGTGAATAGTACCTTTTCATCCATGTCTTACGCATAGTCTGCTGGCGCTCAGGCTGGTCTGCATACTGTTTGTATGCAATAATCTCTTCCAACTCGGAAAGCATTTGCGCGCGAACCATAATGCTATCAAACGATTAGTATATTTTGAAGCAAGGAAGGACCCAACTCACTTGTACGAACGACTGTAACTTTCTCCTACAAAGGATGTGAGCTCAGGATCCAAGAGATCTCGAGCCTTTGCGATCTGCGCTAGCGCCTTGGGGAACTGGTTCTGGTGAACGGACAATATGGCGCGGTAGAATGCGCGATCCGGAGAGTCAGCTCTCATCGTAGCAATGTAGTCATCCATCGAATCCCATTCGTTGAGCGACCAGGCCGCCGCCGCCGCCATCGGTGCAATTTCTCGACGATCTTCGTGGTTCGCATTTGCCCAATTCTCCTCAACTTGAGCAGCCAGCTGATCCCATTCGCCAAGTGCATGCAGACACTTCATTCGCCCGATGGCGATATCTGGTGCATCTGGATCTTCTTCGGCTTTCTTCTCGTAGGCCACAAGCGCTTCCTGCCACCGTCCAAGACGTTCATACCATTCTTCATGTTTGGTGACATCGTACTGTTCGCGGGCGATGATGAGTGTGCCCCATGCGGCGTCTTGTTGCTGAAGCTTCGTGTTAATCCCAATGAGGGCTTCGATGATGGTCGGTGAGGTTTCGGAGAAGAATTCGAGCTCTTTGTAGTGAAGGGCCTTTGCATATGCATGATACTTCATGGCGTATTCGCCAAGTGTACGGTTCTCGATAGGAAGAGGCTTCTCCTCGTGCTCCATAAACTCGGCCAGATTGAGCAATCGGTGAATAAGGTCGGCAGG